CACGCTGCCGCCCCCGCAGCCGCCCACGGCGAGCCTCTCCGCCTCCAGTCCGCAGTCTACGGAGCACCCCGTGCTCGACGGCATGGCCCCCGGGGAAAGCATGTCCACAGGTAACCACGCCCAGCTTCCTCCATTTTCCACGAACTTGAGCACAATGGGCCGAGGGAGGGCTGCTGGTGCCACTGCCAGTCAACAACCCGTTTGCCAGGGGCCGGCTGTGCTGGTGCCAACATAGCTCCCCAGGGGATCCCCTGAGACGCCCCTGCAGCCGGTGAGAACAGCTCGGGAGGGACCCAGCTGTCCTGCAGCGGGCCTCTGTGGGGGGTCTCCCAGTCCAGCACCCGCAGCCAGGGCTCTGCGTCGGCCCTAATTTGGGGGCTGAGCGCCCGAGCTCCTGGGAAAGCTGGAAGCTGGGGGAGATGGCAGACCCGCTGGCACCTGAGCACAGTGGTGCGGGAGGCGTTCCCCGTGTCTTCAGAAACCCTACGGACCAAAGACATTTTCTTTTTATTAATTGAATAAGCCTAATTAGAAACATGTATTTCTAGCACCATACATTATAAAGGGGCTGGGTTCAGACAAGACACGTGTCCCCCTGGTTCTCAGAGGAGCTAATTGGACAAGCCCACAATGGCTAAATTTAGTTTTGCTTTGAATTTAAAATCAAAGATGGATCTATTTTCCCCCAGAAAAACGTGTGGCATGAAATCATAAGCACACACGTTTAGCACACACCACTGGTCTGGAAGAAGGACACGTTGAAACATCTCCCAGGATCGAGCACACAAGGTCAGAACTCGGCACGTTTGTGTGGCCGCTGACTAGAGCCAGCCCTGCCCCTCACCAGGCCGAGAGCCCGAGTTCATCGGCCTGTATTGACCCAGGTAGCAGAAGGCGGGGCCACTGGGGACGGAACACCCACCCCACACAGGGAGTTCAACACACTACACAAGTGCACATCATGCCCTCACAGCACACACCGATGCACACACTGCATGCACACACGCGCCACGCGCACTCATAGCAGCGCAGCCCTGGGCCTGGCTTCCCGCGGAGACGGGCCTTCCCTTGGCTAGATGGCGGGTTGGCCTCGGCCTCCACTCCATGCTGCCTGTGGAAGTCTAGTCCAGTGTGGTATTTGTGTTGGGTCTAGAGATTTAAATGTTGTGGGAGCAGCCGTCTGGCGGTTTGGCTTGTTTTGGGCAATGAATCATGTTGAAGGTACAGCTGCTGTCTTCTACCGGAGGCTTGTAAAAAACAAAGGGAATTCTTCCTTGAAAGATGAGTGAGCACCACTCCCCACTGGTGGTTCCTGGTGCGAGATGTGTTCGCAGTGAGCCCTGAGGGGAGGGAGCACAGGCCCACTGCTTTGGGGGTTCAGGGCCACACCCCTGGAGCTCCTGGTCACCCTGAGTTGTCCAAAGGGGCCGCTCCTCCCAACACATCAGCCTGCCAACTTCTGGGGCCACCCAAGGAAGGACCCAGGGTGGTCTGCTCACCTCCTGAGAGGACAGAATGAGAGATTTGGGGGAAAGTGGGCCACAGGAGGCACTGAGGGACAGGACAGGCGGTGCCCACAGCCACGTGGGAAGTGTAAGGACCCCTCCCACTGCACCAGCTTCAGGGCTGCTGCCTCTAGACTGAGCGATGCCCAACCCCGTGCCTTTCTGTTCAGTGTTCTCCGGCTGCATTGTTCTGTCCCGCCTGTACAGGCCGGGGGCCGAGGGAGGAGCTGGACTGATGGGGTGTGGCCACCTGGCCGATACTGGGCACAGTGTTGTGTTGCGTTCTTGTTCCGTCCTGTTTATTCCTCTCTCCGATCCTGTCATTGTCCTTGCAGCTGTGTGACATGAGTGCCGCAGTGTTGGATACATGTGAGGGGAGTTCAGGGTAAGCGGCCCCAGCCCTCCGCTCCGCACTGCATGTAGCTGGGCCCTGCATGGCCGCTCCCTCGGTGCCTTCCCCAGCGCAGCAGGAGCTTTCTGGGGTCCCTGGCCATGTTGGGGTCTCTTTCTTGTCCTCAGGAGCTGGGGACAAAGTCAGAGGCCAAGCTCGTCTGCTCACCTTCTGTCACCAGCCACCTAGTCCAGCACCCCTCCTCTCCCTGAGGTTGAGCTGACAGGGATCAGGCCGCCCTTCCCAGGATGGACCTGTGGAGACTTCTCTGCCCAGTGTCCGGGGCAGTTCCTCACTACACCTTGGTTTAGGGACCTGTCCACGAAGGTCCCGCTCAGGCCGTGGGCATAGCCCCCGCAGCCTGGACCTGTCTCGGGGAGGGCGCCCTGGGACCTGCACTCTCAGACTGAAGTCCACGCACCTTGTCCAGGCCGAGGCTTAGGCTGGCGGATCCTGGAGAAGCCATAGCATTAGAGTGCGTCCTGAGCTCATCTCCCCAGCTCGATAAACACTGGGGAACATTTACCCAGGTCTGCCTGGTCTCCTACTATAAAGAGCAGGTGCTTTAAAGCAGCAGTCGCCAACCTTTCGGACCTCACGGACCACCGGTTGGCGACCACTGCTCTAAAGCGAAACCAAGGCAAGAACATGAACGAAGCCAGAAGGAACGAGGTGTTTCTACCTCAGTAAGAAGGTGTGGCCAGAGCCAATCCGGGGGCCCTCCAGGGGTGCCCCATGAGAGCTGCCGAGAACCGCCAGCAGGGCCCACAGGCCTCCTAATAGGAAACCAGCTCCGCCAACCCCCAGCACCGTCAGCGAGTCCCCCTCAGGGTCTCCAGGGAACAGCCAGGGTGCGCTGAGCAGCTCACTCCAGCGCCAGTTCTGGGCCGGGCGCTCTTTGCCTACTGTCCGGACTGTCACACGACCCCCCACCACCCTAGGCTGTTCCCATTTGACTGCCTGGCACAGGGGAGGTGAGAAACCTGTGCAGGGTCATGTGCCGCCTGGTGGTACAGATGGGTGGGCCCCAAGCCAGCAGCAGCCTCCCACGAGGCACCCAGGGGTGGCCCAGCCGGGGGCAGGCAGGGCTGAGCTCAGCCCTCACCTCTGCCCGAGGCCTCCAGTGAGGACAGGCTGCAGTGGCTCCCTGCTGAGTGCTTGGGAGGCGGGAGTGGACCTGGGTTCCAGAGCTTCCGTGTTTGTACAGTGTCTCTTAGGACCGTGTCCAGATGTCTGTCTGTCTACTTGGTATGGCATTCTTTGGGCTGAATGTTTGTTTTACCAAAAAAAGCAAAATAAGAAACCAACAAAACCCCACCTCCCAGTCCCGGCCCAAAGGCTGCTCCCTCCCAGGTAGCTTCCCCGCTGCCTGGGCCCAGGCGGAAGGCAAGGCGAGGTGAGGCAGAGCTGAGCAGGTGGGCGGGTGGGATGGCTGAGGGTGAGGGCCCAGGGCTGTGCCCGGCTACCCGGCCTGGAGCCCTGCAGCCCGGGGTGAGCAGGTGGGGTTCCCAGTGAGCCCTGTAGCCTGGGGAGCAGGTGGGGTTCCCAGGGCAGCGCAGCCCCCGCCCACACGGGGCCCCGCCTATGCAGAGCTGCTGGACCCTCTCAACTCTGCAGCTCACAGGGGCCCAGACCCACAGGCGCTGAGCCCTTCACCTCAGGTCCCTCTTCCTGATCCTCTCCCAGGAACAGACCTTTAGTGCCCCGAGGCAGCTGCGCCTCGAGGTGAGCGGCTCCAAGGGCTGAGAGATGGGGTTTTCCTACAGTTGGGGAGCAAACAGTTTGCTGCAACTTCGGCCCAGCTCCTGGGATCCCTCTGCCGGGCCCTTCAGCCATTGAGGTATACTTACTGTTCACAGCCTTAGGGTGCTTGCACTGTCTCAGGATCCCCCACTCGCTGGGAAAACGGGGTTTTTCCACTGCCTCACACCGTCCCTGCAGGCGTTAGGAACTAAATGCAACCCCGAAATCCCAGGAGGCTGCCAGTGGGACTGGCCCGGAGGTAGTGAGTGTGCGGGAGCAGCGGGAGCTGCTAGCAGTGCTGAGGGCCACCTGGCGGGCAGGTCTGCGCTGGCCCACAGGCTTGCTTGGTAGAAGCAAAGCTGCCCAACCCTAATGCGACGCTGCGATAAAATGCTTCAAGTGGCCCCCTATAGGCTGGCCCTCGGTGGCCCACCCGCTTGCTTCCTAATGCTGACTAGCTGCCTGCCCCTGGCGTCGGGTCTCCTTAGCTACAGCCCCTTTCCACTCACCTCTCTCTGCGAACTTCCAGATCTCGCTCACTTCGACGTCCCCTCCATCCACGTGGAGCTCGGGCCGGCACTCCGCCTGAGTCCCCTGGAGCACAAGCTGCGGCCCTCGGTGACTGAGAAGAGGGACTCGGAGGAGGACTCAGAGAGCACCGCCCTTTGACACGCGTGTACATACGTGGGCCCAGACCAGCATACGGCAGGGCGCCCTGGGCCCAAGTTCCCCGTGGCTCTCGCTGTCACTGCCGCGCACGGCCGGAGCTCTGCAGAGAGCGGTCACCCCCGGCCTGAGTGGCAAACGTCGGTGGTGCAGATTTTGTTCGTTCCCCTCGGGTGGTGACGTGGGCCTTTTGTTTGATCTTTGCCTTTGACTTTGTGCCTATTTGACCTACTTTCAGCCTCCATGCCAAGCAGCAGCCCTCTCCACCAAGGGCTCCTGGCAGTCCTCTGCAGGGGGGTGGGGGAGGGCCAGGTGCTGGGCGAGACCTGGGCTGCGCCTGTACTGACAGCACGAGTTCTCGGTGTCAGCTGACGGGTGTCGGCTGGACGGCCACAGAAGGGGACGGAGAGCAAGCCCTTCACTGACAGGGACCAGACCGGATTCTCGAGTCTGGGCGCTGACTTGCGCTGCACAGGGAGGCTCCCCTCCTTGGTGGGCTCTAAGTAAACGCTGAACACGTTTGTTTTACTTCCCAAGTTTTATTTTCCACACCGTGTTACCGAAAGCTCCTGTTTCTACCTTACCGTTTCACACTTCCAAATTTAAAAATGACCTTGATGTCTAGAGGGCCTAAAGACACCTCCCCATGCCCCCCCAAACATCAAATGATCTCACAGCAATTCTACACCTCCGGCTCTCAGGGGCACCAGCTCACAGGTGCGGGGTCGGGACCAGGAGCCTCTCTCCTGGAGGGCACTTGTGAATAGCAATAACTGTTACCCAGAGCTGGAGCATAGCGTGAGACCGGCCTGGGAGACACCAGGCCAGCCCCAAACCCCAGCGTCAGGCTCTCTCCCCTTCTCACGAGACCCCACCCCCTCTCGGGAACAGGCGGGGGCACTGGGAGCCCACACCCTCTGGGACTGAGAGACATCTGGGTCGTGCATGCACAGCCACACTTTACAATTTTACCCTTTTAAGGCAGATATGACATACCTATACATGATATATTTGTATATATGAAATTTCTCTATATTTGTTTAATTTGAGCCATTCAATCTAAGCCAGTGTACAGGTGTACAATTCGAAGTTTAAGTGAGTATTCCTTCTCCCAGCACAGTGTAAAATAGCCCTCCTCTGACCGTGGGGTTGGCAGACTTGGGATGCTACCAGCTTTGCTCACTTCCTGGCGAGGGCGGTTCGGTACCCAATTTGCAATGGAGCCCGGGGGCTGAAAGCACCTTTAAATACATGTACAAATAGTTGTCAAAAGTAATCTTATTAAAATAGATTTATTATCCCTGAGCATGGCCTTTCGTTGTTTAAGTTACGAAGCGTGTGGGGACACGGGACTCAATGACAGGTGCTGCCAAGGCCTCCGCCTGCCTCCCTCTCATCACCGCAGTTTTTAAAGCATTTCTGTCTTCTCCTCGGTAGGAGAATATACAAATAAATACTGGACTTAGCTTTAAAAACTCTGTCTTCAGGCACTAACCTCAGTGCTGTTCAAGCTCATAAGGGGGCAGGGGAGCCAGCCTGACATGCTACTTCGTAATACTCTGAAGGGCAACGAGGGATTCTCATTCTCACTGCGCCAGGGAAAGTCAACTACTGTCTCGCTGCTCCCAGCACTGTGGGAAGCTGTGTTCCAGAGGCACCGCGTGGACCCAGCCGTCCGACTGGTGCATGAAACCAGGCCCCGTTGGCAGCCTGCACAGCTGACTCGGCAGAACCCGGCCACTGTGTGCCTCCCGGGACAGGCGTGGTCCTCCCGCCTCAGAGCTGGCCTCCCGGACACGCTGGGGCCTGCGCAGGCGGCACCGCCTGGGAGGCTCCTGCGGAGGCACCAGGACCAGGCAAAGCACTTGTTCCGCAGGAATCTTTATTGAGTTCTGGGCTCTGGAAACACTACTCCTTAAGCCTTGAGCCTTGGGCACTGAGACGTCACATCCACGACCCGTGTTCCCTGACGGCCTGTCTCTGGTGTGCGGAGGGCACGGCTTGGCGGGAACAGGCCTGGTATGCGTTCTTCTACGTGACTTAAGTCACTGGCACCGAATTCCGTTTTCTTTCCTCGCAGCTTCCTGTCCACGGCTCCGCCAGGCACATTCGTGACACGTCCAGCACGCAGTCCTCACCCGGAGCCCAAGCCAAGGCCCAGCTCCCACCACTGTTCCTGTGTGCCGCCCGTTCCACAGTGCCCTCGGCGCCCACCAGGCAGAGGGCGCACTCGGGACCCTGCGCGGGGTGGGGCGTGAGCCTTCCAAGTTCAGGGCCGCTCCTGGCCTTCATTCTGCCCTGACCTTCCTCTGTGGACTGGCAGGCCCCTCTGTATGGGCCCGTTTCCGAGAGGGCTCACTGTCCTCAGCTCCGCCCGCCTGCGCCTGGGAGAGCAGGGCCGCCCGCACCAGCCGCAGCTCCCTCTTCTCCCGGCGCTCCTCCATCTCCTCGAGGTCGTCAGCAAACAGAGCTTTCAGCGGGGCCATCAGCCTGGGCACTGTGGAGAGGTCTCCGAGCCGCACCTGGAGGACAGGACGGGGAAGACATGCCTCCGTGAGGAAGGCGCGTGACCATCCAGCAGGCACACATCCCCTCACCAACCCTGCGGCCACGGACCACAGCTGGAAAAAGAAGGAAAACGCAGAGGCGGCAGGAGACTAAAGAAAGGGCAGAGACGCCCCACCGCGGCTGAGGGCGGCCAGGTGAAGGGGCTTCAGAAGACTAGGCTGCCAGACTCTGAAAATCAGGCTCCTCAGAAACAAGCCTGGCCCCTGCCCGAGCCAGCCTGGCTCCCCAGTCCCAAGAGGAGAGGCCGTCTCCAGGCTCCGAGGCTGTGGTGATGGTGGGAACAGACGAGCCCCCGAGGCTCTGTCATTTCCAGTCACCAGCGCTAAACGGGCCTGCGGAAGGTCGGGCGGCCTTCAAACCCGGTGCTGGTCCTGAGGGGTGATGGGCAGGTCCTCTCACTGCTGGCCCGACCATCCCTCCCATAGCGTCCATGTGGCGCGGTCTCTCTGCCCGGCCCCACCCGGCGCAGCCCACACCACACGCATACCTTCATGTGGTCAAAGGCAATGCCAACTTTCTCGTTGAAGTCAGGGCTGAAGAGGGGGATCTTGGCGTAGCGCTGGCTGAAGTGGTTCAGCATGATGAACCCAGCGTTCATGCGCATCCCCACGCCGATCGCCTGCGAGGTGGTGCTGCAAACAGGGTTGGAGGGTCGCATCCAGCTGAAGCGCCCCCTTGGGCCTGCCCCTGCCCCCCAACCCGCAATATTCCCTGACGTGGCTCACAGGTGATTCCAGCCTGTTTCTAGCTCTTTCTAAAGCTGGGCTGCCTCAGAGCCTTGCCTAGAGCTCTGCAGAGATAAAGCCGAAGGGCCCAAAGCCAACCACCTCCCCATCACAGCCCACAGCCCCTGGTGGGACGCAGGCAGGCCTTTCTCAGCAGGGCTGCTGTGAGGCTAAGCAGTCACAGGGAGGGGAGAGAAGGGGAGGGAGTAGGTGACAGGCCGAAGCGTTCGCAGCTACCTGTGTGTCTTTTCCACAGCTTCCACCTCCAGACCGTCTTCCAGCGTGGCCTCGTGAATCAGGAGGGTGGCATCTTTCCCTAAAGGAAGCATGGGCGTGGGGCAGGGTCCTGTGCTGGACAGGCACTCGGCCCCGGATTCCTGCCCACACTCCATCCCCTGACCCTGTGCCCTGTGTGGATGCTAGGATGATCACCAAGCTGTTAGCTGCCTCTACTCACCCATCTGGACCAGAGCCTCGCAGGGCATGGTGTCCCCTGAGTAGACCAGCTTCCAGCCGGACGTATGGACCAGCGCACAGCCATAAGCATGCTTGCAGTGCCGGACCTGGCAGACCTGAAACTGGAGGGCAGGGCAGGGCATGGCTGCAGCGGTGCCCCCCCATCGCCAGACGCCCCCTGTCCCCTGCGGCCGCCCCGTACCTCCTCCAGATCACAGGCTCTCAGCAGGGAGCCAATCCAGCTCTCAAGTGTGGGGCTGGAGACCTCGGCTCCTTTCTGAAGGCATTTGGCAGGGATCACACTGTGAGAAAGAAAACATTAAAACAAATTTAACTTGAATCAAAGTTTAAGAATTTGGGAAGCCCCACAATCATTATAAAGAAACACAATTTAAATCGCAGTGAGACTGAGAAAGGTCGTCAATTAGAACAAACCAAACCCCAGGCCACCTAGAAACCTACCGGGTGAGCTGCCCACAGCGAAGGCATTGCAGGCCCTGCCCAAGCGGCCATGACTGGGCCCAGGCAGACGGACTCCTTCCCACGAGGTGGGGATAGGGCCAACTCCCACCATGCATCCCCTGGCGGGGCAGTCTGCGCTCACAACTCGGGCACGTGGCCCTGCAACTGCTTTATCAAGAGGTGTTGGCAAAAGTCTAGAAACTAGAACGTAGCTGAAATGAGGCTGCGAGGAAACGCAGCCAAGAAGACAGACATCTAAGTGAAGCCAGCTAGTGGTTTTGCCCTGAGCTTTCTCCCTGCTTCTGCCACTGGGCCACATCAGGGGAAGGTTTCGGGGGTATCCTGACCTGCCCCAGGTCAGCCCTGAGCTGTGGAGGGGAGGCGACAGCCTCGGGGCGGGCTGCGGGGAGCTCACCTGACGTGGTGCAGGAGCAGCTGGCACTGGTTGTGGTACTGCTGGAGCCAGGCCCGGAGCTGGGTTGGGGCAACCACCAGCAAAGGGTGGAAGGGCTTTCCCAGCGATGCCTGGAACAACAAAGTCAGAGCTGAACCAAAGGCAGGCATCGCAGGAGGCCTAGGTGTAACCCAAGCAAACCCAAAGTGGCAGTAGGTCAAGCGCCGCACTCACCAAAGCGCGTTCTCTCTGCAGCAGGATATTTAACAAGCCCTGGAAGGGGAAAGGAGATACAGATGAGACGAGACGCCAGCAACCTCGGCCCGGGTTGGGGTCCTCGCCCTCATCTTGCAGGAGCCCCTCGCCCTCTATTGGCCACCAGCCTCTAACACTGCTGTCGCTGGGAGCCAGCACATGCTGACCCAAGACAGAGCAGTGGCTGGAGACCCAGCTGCCCCAGGAGGCCAAGCCCCACCCCTCTGGCTGCAGTTTCCTCTGCAGGCATGTGGGAAGGCAGACCCCTGCTGCGACATGACAGCAGGCAAACAGACCAGCATCCTTATGGGCAGAATTACTGAGCTGGGTTCTGTGAACGACCGTTACCTCGCAAGAGGCGAAGAGCCAGGGTGGTGGGCAAGTTTGGGATGGAGGAGAGCAAGGCCACAGCTGCCTCAGGTGGGGCTCCGGGGTCCTGCCCAGCACTCACCGTGTGGTGATCCGCGTGCAGGTGGGACACGAACACAGCAGCAAGGCTGCTCAAGACCCTGTCCACGTCGTCGCCATAGTGACGACACAGCTGCCCAAACGTACCTTCCCCACAGTCCAGCAGCAGGGACTTGTCGGAGCTACAGAGAAAAAAGTGAGATGTTCATGGCTGAGGAGAGGCCTCTCACGGCTCAGAGGCCTGTGACCTCAGAGAAGAGTCAAGCAGCGAATGCACTCTATCTCCCATAACCTTGCGTCTGCTTCTCTGAGGACCTTGTACAAACAGGAATGCAACTGTAATGTCCATCCTCCTTATGTAGAACTATCCACGGGACCCCGGAGCCCTTTAATGAAGTAGTAAGTGTCCTAGCTGGGTAGCTCAGTGGACTGGAGCGTCGTCCTGTGAATCAAAGGTTGTGGGTTTGATTCCCAGTCCGGGCACAGACCTAGGTTGTGGGTTGAATCCCTAGTTGGGGTGCATACAAGAGGTAACCAATCAATGTTTCTCTCTCACATCGCCGTTTCTCTCTTTCTCTAAAATCAATAAACATATCCTTGGGTGAGGATTACTAGTAAAAGAATAAAGAATATAGAAAGTAGGATTAAAAATGGCAGCAGAGTAAGTGGATGCTGCATGGACATGCTCCCAGGAACAAGCTGGAATTACAACTAAAATACAGAAAAACTTCCTGAATAATCATTGGAAAACTCGCAGGAGAGAACCCTGATACCCAAGGACTGAAAGTGGAGACCACATAGAGGCTGGTAGGAGAGGCGGAGGCGTGGAAGGGCTGGCCGGGTGCCCACAGACCACAACTGGAGTCCTGGAGAGATATCTCAGCTGTGGGGCCTGCCACTGAGAACTCCGGGATCTAATCCCTGAGGTGGGCACCCCAGCAGAGAGCACCAGAACTGAGGAGGGTACCCATGTAACATCTAGCTGTGAAAAGCAGTGGGGTGCTGTCTGCCAGAGAGTGGCAGCTGAAACTTCAGGC